CTCACTGCAAGCTCCGCCTCCTGGGTTCACGCCATTCTCCTGCCTCAGCCTCCCGAGTAGCTGGGACCACAGGCACCCACCACCACGCCTGGCTAATTTTTTGTATTTTTAGTAGAGACGGGGTTTCATCATGTTAGCCAGGATAGTCTCGATCTCCTGACCTCGTGATCTGCCCGTCTCGGCCTCCCAAAGTGCTGGGATTACAGGCGTGAGCCACTGCGCCCGGCCCAAGCCTATTTTCATGGTTACCCACATTTGGCGCTTGCCAAAGATGGGCTTGGCAGCTTTCCCTACTTGGGCACGGGCCCAGGAGGTCAAGAACCCAGCAGGAGGGGCTCCAAACCTTAGTCAGTCTTCCTTTCCCTACTGAACATTCCTACAGCTCTCCTCTGACTCACTTGAGCTTGCTTTCCACAGGAAAGAAAAAACTGAGTCATCCCATGTGGCAATGCTGGACCAGGAACGATATGAGGATTCTCACCTGGGAAAATACCGGCGGATCTACCCTGGGCCTGACACAGAGAAGTATGCCTGCTTCTTCAAGCACAATGGCTCCCTCTTCCAGGAGACTGCTGCTTCCAAGGCCAGAGAGGAGTGTGCCAGGTACTTTGACCGACATTCTTCTCTGCACACCTAGGTGGGGCAAGTCCTGAAGCTGCATTGCTTCCCAGCAGGGGAAGAGGAAGTCAGACACTTGAGCAGAGGAATGGAGCTATAAATCCTATCAGACTCTTAGTGACTCTTTTCAGTTTAGTAGGTTTCTTGTCCTCCCCCGTCATTGCTCTCCCATCAGTCCTAAGAACAGATTATAATTTCCTACTCTTTCCCCATCCCCATTTTTCCTCACCCCTCTTCTCCCCAACACCATTTCTCTAGTGTCTGAAGCTGCTGTGTCTTGTCAGGCAGCAACTGGAGGAGATCCGCCTTAAGCAGGAACAGCAGGAGACCTTGGGCAGTAAGAGGCAAAAGGCCAAGGACCAGAACCAGGGTGAATCAGCTGGGGAGAAAAGCCAACCCAGGGCAGGGCTCCGGAGCCATTCCACCCGCTTGGCTTACAGGAACCACAGCTGGGAGAAAGAGGTGCTAGGGGTTTTGTGGCTCTTATCTTTCTGTGGGAAAATGGGTTGGGACAACTAGAGAGGGGAATGAATCTCTGCTGTCCTCTCCCCCCATGCACAAGAGAGGAGTTCCTAATCAGTAAATTGAATCTGATCCTTTGGAAGATGAAGTGAGAGAATGGACAGCAAAAGGAACTGTCCTGGGTCAGGGAAGGGATGAGGGTAGAGTGGGCAGGAGGCCTGCAGCCATCCTGGGCGATGGTTTGGGACTCATCCTTGGAGATCCTGCATTTATCTCTCATGTACCTTGTAGCTGCTGCCAGGACAGCTGGACACCATGAGGCCTCAACAAATTGTGGAAGAGGAGGAGCTGGAGCGGATGAAGGCCCTGCTACAAAGGGAGACTCTCATCCGAAGCTTGGGTATTGTAGAGCAGCTCACCCGTCTGCAGCACCCTGGCCCCCAGGGCCAGAAAAAACTTCATGAGAGTCGGGTGAGGGTCCCTGTGAAGCCTCCCAGAGGAAAAGGGAACAAGGGCTGTCGTCCCAACACATGGTGGTGGTCTCAACAAAGGAGGCTTGTGTGATGGTATCTGTCAGTGGAGCCTGGGAAAGCAGAGTGCACTAACTGGACCTTGGGAGAGGGTCTGTTGATTCCTTTTACGTCTGTTCCCAAGCTCCTTTGTTTTAGATATGACATCCAGCAAAGTGCAGCTCCAAACTTTCTCATTTACAGGAAACCTGCTCTCTATATTCCTGTCCCCAAATAACCCCACACTCATGACTGACAAATAACAAGGCCACCACCCTCAGTGGCTTCTGTATAATTTTCTCCCTAGCACTGTCAGTGCCCTGGCTCTAATGGGAGATAAGTAAACAGATTTGGGCCAACAAAAGAGCTGCTGCTTTCACTATTCCCTGGGCTAGTAGCAAACCTGTTGGGTTTACTGTTTTTGTTGAACCTCAAAGGAGTATCTGGTTAAATAGTGGCCATGGCCTAGATTTTTTTTCAGTTACCTCCTTTGTCCAACGCTCCATCCAAACTCACATAAAAATGTGGTAAGGGGCTGCTCTTCTCCTCTAGCCTAGATTTCGTTAGGACAGGCTAGGCAGTCAAAAACTGAAACCTGGGAGTCTGGTTCTATTTGTGCTCCTAAGAGGGGCTGCCACAGAGCAGGGCCCTCCTCATTTGCTGCATCCAGTTCTGCCCCATAAATCGATCCCCAGGATCTTAGGGGCACTGCCAAGCATGAATGCTGCAATCCCACATGTTCCCCGGTGCCATCTGCAGCCCAAGAACTTCACCTGGACAGGAGAGCCGGCAGCCATCAACTCCTGTTCATTGTCAATGAAGAAGGCTGGGAGGCGCTATTTTTCCAGTGCCAGAATCAGGCTGACTAGCCGTAAGTATGCAAAACTATCTTTGGTCATTTTGACCTGTGTAAATCCCACTAGCAAGTATAGAGCTTGGATGCCCCCAAAATATAAGGCACTTCCACCGGTGTAAGAATGGGGAAGTTAGGGTACCCATTTATTTACTCCTTTCTTTTTTGTTTTCTTTTCTTTTGTTTTTTTTTTCTGAGACAATGTCACGCTCTGTCACCCAGGCTGAAGTACAATGGCTTGATCTCACCTCACTGCAACCTCCACTGACAGGCTCAAGTAATTCTCCTGCCTCAGCCTCCCGAGTAGCTGGGACTACAGGCACACACCACCATGCCTGACTTTTATATTTTTTGTTTTCGCCATTTAGCCCAGGCTGGTCTTGAACTCCTGAGCTCACGTGATCCACCAGACTCAGCCTCCCAAAGTGCTAGGATTACAGGTGTGAGCCACCCCACCAGGACTATTTAATCCTTTCTGTACACTAGACCCTGGTGATAGAAATGGCAGAAATACAGTCCTAGCACTCAACAGAGGTAATAGGAACATGGACAAGAAGACATACCATACCAATTACAATACAGTGTGGGAAAGACAGTGGATTGGGAAGCATGGGATGCCCTTCCTCTGTGTTGGTAATTGGGCCACAGCTGGGAAAGAGGTGAGCCAATCTCTTCTGTGAGTACCAACTCAGGGACATCCATGTTTCCACTGCAGAAGGACAAGCCAGCAGAAGGCTAGAAGCCATAAACCGAGTCCTGGCAGGATCAGTGCCACCCACTTTAACCCCAAAGCAGGGCTATCTTCTGCAACCGGAAAGAGTGGCATCTGACTCATGGACTGAATGCACCTTGCCCTCCATGGTAAACTCTGAACACAGAACAGCCAAGGTTTCCCTCTGCCCTGCGTCTGCACCCGTGCTGCAGCGTTCCAGAGCACTCCTCAACATCAATCAGTTCAGGTAAAAGCAGGAGGGAAGCACTCTACCTCTCCTGGAGAACCTCCCCAGGTTTCCAAAGGGTTTCCAAAGGGCATTCAATCTTTGCTAAATGAAAGACTGCCACCAAGTTCCTCTTTGAAAAGCCCTGCCCAGGAACCCCATTTGTAAAAGGCAAAATACAAAGACACCAAGAATTCCTCAATAACCTAAGATTAACTGGGGATCAGTAAAGACTAGAAGATGAAGAGGCGCCAAGGCCAGCCATGTACTCATTTCTGCTTATCAAGCCTTAGTCTGGGTTTATCGCTAGGTGATGGGTCTGAACCCTAGGTGCGGCCCGGGGCTGGAGGTCATCCAGGAGACAAAGAGCCCCTTTCCCAGAGGAGCCGAGTGCCCAAGGCACTGGGCTGTCGCCGTCAGAAGACTGCCGAGCAGAAGCCCTGCCCACCAAGGTGGCGGAGACAGGCAGGCCTGGGGAGCCGCTGGGGCGGAGGGACGGCTCTTGGAAACTGAATCCGTACTTTAATTAAAATTTATGCAGTTTTCCAGGAGCGTCCTGTACCTCATTTCGGCCCTCACGTTTCAGCCAAGCCCACTCCACAGCTACAGCCAGAAAGGGTGGGCCACTGAGCAGCGTGAGACCAGATCTCACGGCCACCAAATGAAGAGGGAAATGCTTGCTACTACCCAGCTTCCGGCCCGCCCCTTCCACTTCCGGCCTTACCCGGCTACTTCCGCTGCTATTTCGTAGCAGACTGCTGAAGGCTGGTTTGCGTCGACATGGCGGTTTCCCTGAGTGTCTTGCTAGGGGGGCGCGTTTGCGCTGCCGTCGCTCGCTGTGGGTTCGCGACCCGGGGGGTGGCGGGCCCAGGCCCTATCGGCCGGGAGCCGGACCCCGATTCCGACTGGGAGCCGGAGGAACGGGAGCTGCAGGAAGTGGAGAGGTACCGGCTTCTCCTCGGGCCCTCAGCTTGAAGCTGGGCCTCGCGCCCCGGCGCCCCAGGCCGCGCCCCCTTGGCGCCGGGTGTCCTGCCGCTGCTTGCGCGGCAGCCTTTGTTTCCTTTTACCCGTTGTTAGTCGCGCAGCGTGAGGTGTTCAGCTCCCCAGGGACCACTGGTCCCTTCATTAGTGACGTATTTCATCATTAGTTTAGAGAGTTCGGCATGCTTACAGGCAGTTATTGTTCTAGGTGTTAGCTTTCTGGGTATACAGAGCAGCTCTAAGCCGGCAACACGGCCCGGTTGCCCTTGCGGTCAAAGAGAAGAGGGCTGGGCGCTCCATGATTTAGCCTGAGGCTCTTCAAACATCCATTCTGCTTCCACGCATGGCTTCTGCCATTGATTCTCTTCCCCCAGCACCCTGAAAGGACAGAAAAAAGCAATCCGATTCCAGAAAATTCGGAGGCAAATGGAGGCGCCTGGTGCCCCGCCCAGAACCCTGACTCGGGAAGCCATGGAGCAGATCCGGTAAGACTCAGGGTACCTTGTTTGTATCTGCTGTGACAAGAAATGAAGGATACTGGAGCCCAGAGCACGGGTTTGGCTTTTTTGATACTGCTTTTATATTTTCATGTACTTTTTATCATTGAAATTTATTATCAGAAAAGTAGAGTAATATAACGAACTTTCCTAAACCTGTCATCATCTAGATTTAATAGTGTATTGTTTTGTTTTTTAAAGACACGTGGTTTCCGCAATCACCTCGAACTCCTGACCTGAAGTGATTCGCCCGCCTCGGCCTCCCAGAGTGCTGGGATTACAGGCATGAGCCACTGCGCCCCGCCTGGTTTTAGTAGTTTTTAACGTTGTGACGTGGTTGTTTCATTTTTGCTGAAGTTTTTAAATAGTAAATTGCAGACATCACAACATTTAACCCCTGCATGTAGATCATGACGTTCCCAACCTAAGGTACAGGGATGCTGGTGCTTCCATAGTTAGGTGCATTTTTCTGAAGAGAGGATCTATAATTTAGGAAAAGCTTAAAAGAGATTTTAAATTTTTTTTGTTTTGAGTAGGTAAAGTGTTACATATGGCTCAACATCCTAACAGTATAGCATGGTTTACGCATTGAGAATTATTTGCCCCACCCACTCTCCTGTGGGTACTTTTTTTTTTTTTTTTGGTAAATGGAGGTCTCACTCTGTCGCCAAAGCTGGAGTACAATGGTGTGATCACAGGTCACTGCACCCTCTACCTCCTGGGCCCAAGCAATCCTCCCACTTCGGCCTCCCAAGTAGCTGGGACTACAGGTGCATGCCACCATGCCTAGTTAATTTTGTTTATTTTTTGTAGAGACAGTCTCATCATGTTGCCCATGCTAGTCTACAATTCCAGGGCTCAAGCGATCGTCCCACCTCAGCCTTCTGAAGTGTTGGGATTACAGGCGTGAGCCACTGTTTGCAGCTGTACTATTTTTAATAGTTTTTCTCTACCAAAAACCAGGCTCCATGCCCTGAGCGAGCCACTGCGCCTGGCCCTCAATTCTTTTTTATAGATGGTGTTATTATATTTTTTTGAGGCAGTATATGACAGTGGTTTTTAATTTTTTTTTAAACAATTTTTTCTCCTATCTATTTATTTATTTGACAGAGATGGGGGTCTCACCATGATGACCAGGCTGGTCTCAAACTTCTGGCCTCAACTGATCTTCCCATCTCGGCCTCCCAAAGTGCTGGGATTAGAGGCGTGAGCCACCACACCTGGCCAGAATGCATTATTTAACCTGTCTTTTCTTATGGGCATTTAGTTGGGTTGTTTCCATTTCTGTTGCTCACTAATAGTGCTCCAGTGAATAACTATGTATATGTATCATTCTACATACCTGCCAGGAGTATTTGTGATATACATTCCCAGAAGTAAGGTTACCAGGTCAAAAGACAAATGCGTTTGCATTTTGATAAATATTGCTAAGTAGCCCTACTTAGCACATTAGTACATAATACTAATACATAATACATACTTAGTACATAAATAGTACTTACGTACTGTTTTTCATTTCCATCAGAATGACTCTGGAATTGAAATTTAAAATAAAGGGGATTCTGTAGAGCTGGTCAAGATTTTGTGAGCCTGTAGCACCTTCTGGGTCCTCAGTCAGGTCTAATTTCCTCTTTTTTTGTTGTTTGTTTTTTGTTTGAGACAGTCTCACTCTGTTTCCCAGGCCAGAGTGCAGTGGTGAAATCTCAGCTCACTGCAGCCTCTGCCTCTGGGTTCAAGAGATCTTGGGCCTCAGCCTCCGGAGTAGCTGGGATTACTGGTGTGCACCACCACACCTGGCTAATTTTTGTATTTTTAGTAGAGACACAGTTTCACCATGTTGGCCAGGCTGGTCTCAAACTCCTGACCTCAGGTGATCCACCCACCTCGGCCTCCCAAAGTGCTGGGATTACAGGCATGAGCCACCATGCCGGCCTCTGTCTCCTGTCTTCAACAATAGCTTTTTCAAACCTTCCACCTTCGTACTTATCTCCCTTTTTTGTGGTCAATAAATGTCCTTTTAAGAGAAAAAAACAGTCCAATAAGTAAGAACTTTGAGCTTCCTGGTCTTCCTCTTTGCCCACTACTCTCAAACTTATGGTCTACTCTCATTTCAGAGGAAATGGGAGCCCTTCACTTGTCTGGGACCAATTCTCTGTATGCTTTAGGTCATATTTCTCCCTGCTTACTCAGGGACCTCTGTCCTCAACCTAAAGCTCTCTCTCATTCTTTTATTCCCAGCTGGTTCCCAGGGTACCTACCCTTGGTTTTTTGTTTGTATCACTGCAATAAAACTGCTCTCCTTAAATCCATCAGTGACTTCGTCAGTGCTAGGCTCAAATGACACTTTGTAGTCTTTAGCCTCGTTAATAATTCAGCAGCATTTGCCCTTGTAAAAACTGCCTTTTAAATTTAAAAAAAAAAAAAAATTAAATAAAGACAGGATTTTGCCATGTTGCCCAACCTGGTCTCCAACTCCTGAGCTCAAGCGATCTGCCTGCCTTGGCCTCCCAAAGTGTTAGGATTACAGGTGTGAGCTACTGCACCCAACTGAAACTGCTTTCTTTTCTCTCTCTCTCTTTATTTATTTATTTATTGCCACTGATTCTCTTTTCGTTTTTTTGTTTGTTTGTTTGTTTGTTTGAGCCGGAGTCTCACTCTGTCGCCAGGCTGGAGTGCAGTGGCATGATCTTGGCTCACTGCAACCTCCGCCTCCTGGGTTCAAGCGATTCTCGTGCCTTAGCCTTCTGAGTAGATGAAATTACAAGTGCACAGCACTATGCCCAGCTAATTTTTTTCTTTTTCTTTTTTTTTTTTTCTTTTTGTATTTTTAGTAGAGATGGGGTTTCACCATGTTGACCAGGCTGGTCTTGAACTCCTGACCTCAAGTGATCTGCCTGCCTCAGCCTCCCAAAGTGCTAGGATTACAGGCGGGTATGAGCCACCATACGGTACAGCCTTTATTTTTATTTTTTTAATTTTACTTTAAGTTCTGGGGTACATGTGCAGAATGTACAGGTTTGTTACATAGGTGTACATGTGCCATGGTGAACTGCTTTCTTAAAATTCTCTTCTCCCTTGACTCCAAGGTACCATTCCCTTCTGATTTTGTTTGTTTGTTTGTTTGTTTCTTTGTTTCTAGGGCTGCTTTTCTCAGTTAACTTCCTAGGCTCCTCTTCTACTTCCTGTATCTTAAATCTTGTTATTTCTTAGAGTTGTGGCCTTGTCATTTTAGCTCACTCCGCATATTTCCCTGCCTGATGCTAGCCACTCAGTCACCCCTGCTATTGGCTTATGACTTCCAAATCTGTCATCTCCAGTTCATGTTTTTTTTCCTGAACTCTAAAGGCATATATTCAACTGTGTACCAGACATCTCTGTTTTGGATATCACTGTTTCCTCAAACTCAACATGTAAAAAATACAATTCATTGTTGTTCCCTGACAACTTCATTCTGTTCCTGTTTTTCCTATAACCTGCTAATTAATTACCCAAGCTAAAATCCTGAATCTTGACCTTGATGCTTCTTCCCCCAATGTTTAGTCCCTTAGTACCAAGTTGTACTATTTGACTTTTCTAAAATATTTCTCAACTCACTTTCCTCCTATGCTCCATTGACTATCTCACTTGAGACTGTCTGGATTACTGTAACAGTCTCTTGACCAATCTTTCTGCCTATATTTTTGTCACTGAAAAACTACCACTAGGTTGAACTCCTTTTTTTCTTTTTTTAATAGAGATGGGATCTCAGTGTGTTTCCCAGGCTGGTCTCGAACTCCTGGGCTCAAGCAATCCCCCTGCGTCAGCCTCTCAAAGTGCTGGGAGTGAGCCACTGTGCCAGGCTGTAGGTCGAACTTCAAAATGAAAATTTATCCATGGCATTCCACTGCTTAAAATTTTTCCTTGACTTGCTCTTGCCTTGTGATAAACTCCAGACCCCTAAGTGTGATCTACCTCTTACCTCACTGTCAGTTGAGCTATTCCCAACAAAGGTGCTGTGCTACTTTACATTTCACAAGTGTTCACTTTATCATCATTACCTTTCATATCTCCTTCTCTCCTCCCTTCTGTCAGCTTATTACTCCTTTCATCCTTTCAGACCAACTCTAGCTTGGACTTCATGAAGCAATTCCTGGGCCTGGCTGTAAGTGTTCTTATTCCCTATATCTGAGTCTCCCTCCTGGGGTGCTGTCTTTGCATCCTGTGCTATAACCTTTACCATAATGTCATTCATTGTGTCTGTCCCCACTCCCAAACTATGTAAAGGGAAGGTCAGTTCTGCATCCCCAGGACCTAATGTGGTATTAGATGTCAGTGAGAGGAGCTGAGTTGATATGAAATGAAGTGACCTGACTGACAGTGGTCAGGTGTTGCTCTTGACACACAGGAATGGAACACAGCCATTTAGCTAGCACAAGGTAGGGACTACATTTGCGATTTTTCAAGCCCTGTTTTTTTGTTTTTTTGAGAGATTCTCACTCTGTTGCCCAGGCTGGAGTGCAGTGGCACAATCTCGGCTCACTACAATCTTCACTTCCCAGGTTGAAGCGATTCTTGTGCCTCAGTCTCCCAAGTAGCTGAGATTACAGGCATGAGCCACCACACTTAGCTAATTTTTGTATTTTTAGTAGAGATTGAGTTTCACCACATTGGCCAGGCTGGTCTCGAACTCCTGGGCTCAAGCGAATCACCTATCTTGGCCTCTCAAAGTTCTGGGATTACAGGTGTGAGCCACCATGCCAGGCCTCAACCCCTCTTCTTTATAATACGTATTGCAAGTTAGATGTTGTTATAGGAGCCTTCTTTACAACTTGCAAACCTGCTCCTTCTTCCCATAGGTATTTACGTGAGGAATTTCCAGAGTCCTGGTCAGTTCCCAGGTTGGCTGAAGGCTTTAATGTCAGCACTGATGTGATCCGAAGAGTTTTAAGAAGCAAGTTTGTACCCACGTTGGAGCAGAAGCTGAAGCAGGATCAAAAAGTCCTTAAGAAAGCTGGGCTTGCCCACTCGCTCCAGCAGCTCCGGGGCGCTGGAAATACCTCAAAGCTGCTCCCTGCAGGCCACTCTGTATCAGGTTCTTTGCTTATGCCGGGGCATGAAGCCTCATCCAAAGATGCGAATCACAGCACAGCTTTGAAAGTGATAGAGTCAGACACTCACAGGACAAATACACCAAGGAGATGGAAGGGAAGAAATAAAATCCAGCACCTGGAGGAGAGCTTTGTGCCTGTTGCTGTACCCCTAGGTCATCCAAGAGAGCTACAGAAGTACTCCAGTGATTCTGAGAGCACCAGAAGAACTGGCAGTGGTGCATTGCCAAGTGATCAGAAGCTGGAGGAGTTGAAGGCAGAGGAGCCGGGTAACTTCAGCAGCGAAGTAGTGCAGAGGGGTCAAGAGTTCTTTGACAGCAACGGGAACTTCCTGTACAGAATTTGAGTCGGGGCTTGGCTTGTGGAGATGCCTTGTGAAACACAGCTGGGCAAGGAATATATATGGAACAGCCTGGATTTCTACATATGGAGAAGCCACCTTGGAATAGGAAGAAGTATTGAGCCTGGACTGTGGGAGGGAAAAACTGCGTGAATAGATTTCAGACTTCCTGTAGTAGTGCCCCCAATCTGACCTCTGTTGATCTTCAGTACTCACTCTTCTTGCTTGGACTCTCTGTATGTTGAAAACCAGCCATGTTGCATGTGTTGTTACAATTTTCTGTGATACTTGCAATTTATATTTGAGAGGAAGTGAAAAGTTTGCCTTCTGACCTCATTTCCTTCTTGATCAGTGAACACTAACATTTTTGGGACAACTTAGTCAATTGTTTTCCTTACAAGCAAAATAAAGTAAAATGTAGCAGTCTGCTTTTTTGGTGCTCTCTGGGGTAGGATGGTTTACCTGTGAACCTTTGTGAGTGAGGGAAGGACAAAGGCAGAAAGGAAGGATCCTTGGTCAGTAAACGTTGGGAGAGAGATGGAACCAGAGGAATTTCCCAGCAAAGGGCTCTATGCAGAGCATCCTGCTTAGTGATGGATTCTGACAACCAAAAACTGGACGCCCTTCTCTTAGTTGCTGGGGTTCTGGCAAAGATTGGGAAATGAGGGGTTGGCAGAAAACACAAAGCAGGCAAAGGCTTTAGGGCCCTTATAATCTCCAACCACATTTTAAAGTTAATTATATTAAGAGTGGGGCATGGCGGAATGTGCCTACAGTTCCAGTGACTTGGGAGGCCGAGGTGGGAGGATTGCTTGAGCCTCGGAGGTTGAGGCTGCAGTGAGCTATGATTGCACCACTGCACTCCAGCCGGGGGTAACAGAGTGAGACCCCCATCTCTAAATAAAAGTCAATCAATCTTCAGTTATGTCTCATTATACAGTTTCCTTAACCAGATTTCTACAGTGGCGCCATGATGTAGGCAATCCCAGATTAAGAGGTCCCTTTTACAAATAAGGAAATAGACTCTAAGATGGCTGCCAATAAGTAGCAGTGCTGGGACTTAACTCGGGTCTCATCATTAATCCAGGGCTTTTGGAATTCCAGGGATATGGCACTGTCTGCCATAATTTTGTTAATTTACTGATTGTTTTAGAAATACATCTGTTATAACCAGAAATCTGGGGACAGCTTAGTCAATTGGTTTTCCTTACAGGCAAAATAAAGTAAAATGTAGCAGTCTGCTCGTTGGTGCTCTGGTGAGATGGTTTACCTGTGAACCTTGGAGAACCGTGTCCTGCTTTCACAATTTACCAGCAAAAATGGCTACTCAGAATTTAAATACGTGTAGGACATTAATGAAAACACCTACATTCCAACTCAGTCATTGCCATTCTAGAATCTTATTGCTATTTCAAATGTCCATTTACAGCAATTAAAATACTGATTACTGTTGCTTTTATCAATTATTGATAACTTGATCATCTGTTCTCAGTATAAATGGCAAAGCCCTATCACATGCTAAGCAAAGTTCTACGATCCAGATACTGGTAATACAATAGTGGGCAGATAGGACCCTTGCTCTCATTCCCCTGTCACTATCATGTAGTTCATAGTAGAAGCTTATCAATATTTTTATGGTTTTATTATAGTGTTTATTTTTTAATTGTTAAAGATGTGTTAGATGCTGTTTGATTGTTTAAATTTGCATTTGTAACTCCTGCAAATCATCTGATCATGCCATACCCTTTTCCCAATGGGCTATAGAAACCTAAAGCCTGTTCTTAAAACTTTGTTTTTTAATTTATTTTTGAGACGGACTCTAGCTCTGTCGCCCACGCTGGAGTGCAGTGGCAAAATCTCAGCTCACTGCAACCTCCACCTCCCAGGTTCAACTGATTCTCCTGCCTCAGCCTCCCAAGTAGCTGGGATTACAGGCATCTGTCACCATGCCCAGCTAATTTTTGTGTTTTTAGTAGAGATGGGGTTTCACCACGTTGGCCAGGCTGCTCTCAAACTCCTGACCTCAAGTGATCTGCCTGCCTCAGCCTCCTAAAGTGCTAGGATTACAGGTGTGAGCCACTACACCTGGCCTTTATTTCTTTTGAGACAGGGTCTCGCTCTTATCCACACTGGAGTACAGTGGCTCAATCTCGGCTCACTGCAACCTCCACCTCCCGGATTCAAGCAATTCTCCTGCCTCAGCCTCCCAAGTAGCTGGGACTACAGGCATGTGCCACCATGCCCAGCTAATTTTTAAAAATATTTTTAGTAGACAGGGTTTCACCACGTTGGCCAAGCTGGTCTCAAACTCCTGACCTCAAGTGATCTGCCTGCCTTGGCCTCCCAAAGTACTGGGATTACAGGCATGAGCCACCACACCCGACCTTTATTTTTATTTCTTTGGAGACAGGGTCTCGCTCTGTCATCCACACTGGAGTGCAGTGACTCAATTTCAGCTGACTGCAACCTCTGTCTCCTGGGTTCAAACTATTATCATTCCTTAGCCTCCTGAGTAGCTGGGACTACAGGCATGCACCACCACACCCAGCTAATTTTTTTTTTTTTTTTGAGACGGAGTCTTGCTCTGTTGCCCAGTCTGGAGTGCAGTGGCGCAATCTCAGCTCACTGCAAGCTCTGCCCCCGGGGTTCACGCCATTCTCCTGCCTCAGCCTCCCGTGTAGCTGGGACTACAGGTGCCCGCCACCATGCCCGGCTAATTTTTTTTTTTGTTTGTTTGTAGTTTTAGTAGAGACAGGGTTTCGCCGTGTTAGCCAGGATGGTCTCTATCTCCTGACCTCGTGATCCGCCCGTCTCGGCCTCCCAAAGTGCTGGGATTACAGGTGTGAGCCACCGCGCCCAGCCTAATTTTTTATTTTTAGTAGAGTCAGGATTTCACTATGTTGGCCAGGCTGGTCTCAAACTCCTGTGCTCAGGTGATCTGCCCGCTTCGGCCTCCCAAAATGCTGAGATTACAGCGTGAGCCACCACGTGAGACAGGCAGATCACCTGAGGTCAGGAGTTTGAGACAAGCCTGGCCAACATGGCAAAACCCTATCTCTAGTAAAAATACAAAAATTATCTGGGTGTGGTGGCAGATGCCTGTAATCCCAGCTACTGGGAAGGCTGAGGCAGGAGAATTGCTTGAACCCGGGAGGCAGAGGTTGCAGTGAGCCGAGATTGTGCCACTGCACTTCACCCTGGGTGACAGTGAGACTCCATCTCAAACAAACACCTCCAATGCTCTTTCTCAAATACCATGGCTACCCTTCCTCCTGCTTTACTTCATCTGTCACACAAGTAATATATACTCATTAAAGAAAAAGACAAGCAAAATGAAAACAAAAGTCATCCCTAATCCCACTGCTGAAGAGTTACTATCTTACCAACATTTTTCTAAGCATATGTACAACTTTAAAACAAGCACAAAAGAATAATATTGCGCAGGGCACGGTGGCTTACGCCTGTAGTCCCAACACTTTGGGAGGCCGAGGTGGGTGGATCACTTGAGGCCAGGATTTCGAGACCAGCCTGGCCAACATGGTGAAACCCTGTCTATATTAAAAATACAACAAGGAGCGACTCCCCGCCGCCGCCCGGGCCCGCGCGCTCCTCTGCCCGGCCCCACACCGCGGGTCGACGTGATCCGCTGCAGCCTGGCCTGCGAGCGCTGCCGCTGGATCCTGACCCTGCTCCTACTCAGCGCCATCGCCTTTGACATCATAGCCCTGGCCGGCCGCGGCAGGCGGCAGTCAAGCGACCACGTCCAGACGTCCTTGCTATGGTGGAGATGTTTCCACGAGGGCAGCGACGGCAGCGGGTCCTAAGAGGATGGCTGCTAGAGCCTCATGGAGTACGCGTTGGGTAGAGCAGCAGCTGCCATGCTCTTCTGGGGCTTCAGCATCCTGGTGATCTGTTTCATCCTCTCCTTCTTCTTCATCCTGTGTGTACCCCAGATGCTTGTCTTCCTAAGAGTGATTGGAGGTCTCTTTGTCTTGGCTGCTGTGTTCCAGATCATCTCCCTGGTAATTTACCCCGTGAAGTACACCCCAACCTTCAACCTTCAGGCCAGCCCTTGCTGTCACTTACATCTATAACTGGCCCTACGGCTATGGGTGGGCAGCCACGATTATCCTCATCAGCTGTGCTTTCTTCTGCTACTGCCTCCCCAACAATGAAGATGACCTCCTGAGCAATACCAAGCCTAGGGACTTCTACACATCCGCCTAACTTGGGAATGAGCGTGGGAGAAAATCGCCACTGCCAAGATGGATTCCAGAAAAAGAAACTGTTTGTCTAGGCTACTTTGAACCTAGTTTTTGGCAGTGTTCATAGTCAAAAATGCTAAAATAATTTGGGAGAAAATGTTTTTAAAATAGTGCTATAGTTTTATGTTCACCTTTTATTATGTTTGGTGAAGTTGTGTATTTTCACTAATTACCTATATTATGCCAATATTTCCTTATATCTACCCATAACATTGATGCTACATTTGTAAGATAATATGAACATGAAACTTAACACTTTATAAGGTAAAAATGAGATGGTTTCCAAGATTTAATAATCCGATCAAGTTCTTGTTATTTCCAAATAGAATGAACTGGGTCTGTTAAGGGCTAAGGAGAAGAGGAAGGTAATGGTAAAAATTGTCAATGACTGGCTGGGTGTGGTGACTCAAGCTTGTAATCTCAGCACTTTGGGAGGCTGAGACAGGCCGATCACCTGAGGTCACGAGTTCAAGACCAGCCTGGCAAACATGGTGAAACCCTGTCTCTACTGAAAATACAAAAATTAGCCGGGCGTGGTGGCACATGCCTGTAATCCCAGCTACTGGGGAGGCTGAGGCAGGAGAATCGCTTGAACCGGAGAGGTAGAGGTTGCAGTGAACTGAGATCGTTGCATTGCACTCCAGCCTGGGCAACAGAGCAAGACTCTGTCTCAAAACAAACAAAAATTGTCAATGACCAAACATTCTGAAAGAAATGCCAAAAAAAGCTTTTTTTTTTTCAAGACTTCAAACGATTTAAAGAAGCAAAATAGTTTCCTAAATGCATATTGTTTGTGAGAATTTCTCACTAATATCCTGAATAATTCTTTTTTTTTTGAGAGAGAGAGTCTTGCTCTGTCGCCCAGGCTGGAGTGCAGTGGCATGATCTTGGTTCACTGCGAGCTCTGCCTCCCGGGTTCACGCCATTCTCCCGCCTCACCCTCCCGAGTAGCTGGGACTACAGGCA